TTAAATGACGTGGTTTTTAAAGTGTCTTACTCGATTTATTAGCCAAATACATCAAATAAGTGTTTTAAACACTTGGTTTTTATTTTGGAGAACTTTGAATTTTTCGGTCGGGTTTCGCATCGGTTGGCTAGGCCGTGGTTAAGGCAAAAACCATGGGTTCTTGACTAACCACTCACCCAGCGATGGGAAGATCTTCCCATCGATGGGTAAGCGGCTCCTCAGCCAAACTAGTTTCCAGAACCATGCCAAACAGTGATGGGGAGTTCCACCCATCGCTGTTAGAGCCTTGGTGCAAAATTACCACAAGGCAGAACGACCTTGCCCAGCGATGGGAAGTCTATCCCATCGATGGGAACCCAGCGATGGTAAGGGTATACCATCGATGGGAAGGCATGACCGTTGGTGGTCATTAAAGGTTGATTCTTTCCTTGTTTGGAAGTCAACCTCCCACCCAGCGATGGGAAGCTTGTACCCATCGATGGGTAGGTGACCGTTGACTTCAAACCGTCATGCATCACACAAGATTTTATTTGTTAAAAACATTATTTTTACTACGAAAAATCATTTTTATAATGATCATAATCAATTCGTATCAATATTAAGATTTTGGAGCTTAGAAATAGCATTTTCAGACAAATTTTCGGATCAGATTTTCGGGTGATCGATCCAGCCCTCTGGATCGATCCATACTATGAAAAATCATTCCAAGGGGATCGATCCAAGCCCCTGGATCGATCCAGACAGTGGTGTTTCAGCCACTGTTCATCTTCTTCTTCGTTCGGGTCCAATTTCGGAAATACTATTTTTAGTTATCGAATTTCAACGAAACTATATAGAGATGTTCTCCAAGGTTCATAGATCATTTTGGAATCATTAGTTCATAGTTTTAACATTAATTTAATGGTTTATGATTCTTTGTTCTTCAAGCATGTCAAACACAAAACACAACCAAACGACCGTTTATGGACGTAGAAACGATCTATACAAACATTCTAGTCACTAGATATATCTACGGGCTTACCTCGAAGGTAAATGAAGGTTTTGAAGATTTTCCGGCAAAACTTTCGGCGAGGATTGTGGCTATCTCCGGCGACCTCACACCAATATGACAGCACCACTGCGTTCTCCTCACTCCCAGCAACAAAATAGATATAAGGATTGTGTGAAATGGTGGAGAATTGAAAGGATGAAGGTGGTCTTTATATAGGGAAGGAATGGAGAAGAAGCCAATGGTGATGTACGCAGTTCCTGTTTTGGCGTCTCAGTGGAGCGGGCTGCTATATTTCTCCGTTTCCAAACGCAAGTCCCTGATTGGGACTCAATTTGTCCACACTTTTTGGTCCAACTTTCTCCGAATTGAAATCCATTTGCACCGTTGCGATCGGGCAGTTAAACTCTATCCAACGATATAACTTTTATATTTATCTGTAATACTTTTTCCGACATCATATTTTTAGGTGATTGATTTTGATAGAGTCAAAATTGATTTATTTGACCTTTACTCTAAAAAGGTTCTTACATTTCATTCATATTATTTATTCTCATGATTTATTTCAATAAATCATTTCAAAGTTCATATCAGAAACAAACTTCTTCATTTATCCTTGATTTGGGTCTGTACTAGGTTCCCAATTTAGGTCACACAATAAGTCAACATATTGAATTTATCTCTATGAGACTTATCAAGATTTTGATATTGAATATTAAAACAGATTTCATGTTGGCCAAAGCCCAAAAACAATTTATTTTAATCAAAACAAATTTGATTAATTGAATAATTATTCATTAATAATTTTAGGGTATATTTTGGGGCGTTACATTTCTTCCCCCTTAAAAGGAATTTCGTCCTCGAAATTCTTTTAAGGTTCCACAATCAATATCTTGTTGTATTTACGAAAATCATGACCGCGTCATGTTCAGCAGTTAAATCACGATTACGTTATTATCCACAGGGATACGTATTCTCAAACTGTCGATGTTATCAAGCTCGTTCTTTGTTCAAGAGATTAACAATCTTAGATTAAGCAAGGTATCCAATGATCCTTTTGCAGGTTTCCGTTCAGATTTAACATCCATAACCAAGATTCCTTTGTAGGGTATAAGATCGTATTTTGGAGCATACTTGACATATTTTGCACATCACTTTGTTCATTCGTAAATCTTGATTGTACGTCGTTAGTCAACAACATTCTTTCTTTGATTGAAAGTTGTTCAATAGCCTTTGCAATTTCGAATCATCACCTTCACGATAGGTATAGTTGGGGATTTAGTGTTTGTTTCAATTCATACGTCATAGTGTAATCTTCTAAGTCATCCAAAACATCTTCACATCGTTCACATAGTTTAGCAATGACTTGTAAATAACGTCAAATAACTTTTATCGGTTCATGATTTTTAGAATATGGGATTAGTCATCATTTATGAGGAAATACTGTTGATTGATTGTACAGTAGCTTGTCATCATCGACCTTATATCGAAACATTTCTTCATTCACTTCATGGTAGCTCTCATTATCGTTAATGAGTCTTTGTATTAATTCGTATTCCTAGGTCATGACGTTTGAGTGGCATCTCATGTACGTCTTTTCGTATTCAAATTTCTTTCATCAATTTGGAAACATATCAAAATATGATAGCGACAGGTTCGATTGTAAAACTACGGTTGATCTCGTTTTCAAGGATGAAGATGTTGGAACACGGGTTTACGCCTTACGTCGTACTAAACTGTGTTCGGTTTTTATGACAGGTTTTGATAATGCCAAACCGCCGCAACATATCGAAGCTAAAGTGAGCAAAACTAAGGCGAAGGAACATGGCATGATGACTTGAGAACCAAGAACCCAGAATCAAGAACGAAGAACTAAAATCGTATTGAGTCGGTCTTAATGTGATCAAGACCGGCACAAAATTCCAAATCTTGGCTCTCTAGGCTCAATTCATAAAAATCTCTTTTACGTGTTCAAAACTATTTTTTCTTAAGTTTAAACTTGGGTCAAAACACTTGGAGTTTGCCCAAGCCAAAAACCAAGCCATCCGGCGTTCGGCTTTCAGAAACCGGCATTCGGCCTTCGGTTTTCGGCATTCGGCCTTCGGTTTTCGGCATTCGGCCTTCGGTTTTCGAACCAACCAAGTGGTTTTCAACTTTTTATGACTGCTTTTTATCTCTGGGTATATTTAATTAGCTCTCCAAAAAAAACGCCTCAAAAACCACTCTCCGTTTTTTGTCGTTTAGTAAAAACCATGCGAAAAGGCACGAACTTGGTTAGCCGTGGTTTTCAACTAAATGACGTGGTTTTCAAGATGTTTTACTTGTTATCTTAGCAAAATGCAATAAACAAATGTTTTCTAAACTTGGTTTTTATTTTGGAGAACTTGCATTTTTGACATCGGCTAACGGCGTGACTAAACCAACCATGGGTCTGGCTAAACCAGCCCAACAGCGATGTTGAGGTAATCAACAGCGCTGTCTGGACTAGGTAGCTAAGAACATGGTTTGGCGTTAAGTCTTCCAACAGCGATGTTGGTCACTAGACATCGCTGTTGAGCCAAGGTTGGATTTCTAGAAACTTCTGGAACAGCGATGTAGGCTTCCCTACAGCGCTGTCCAACCTAAGCCAAAAATATAGTGCATTGGCAGAAAGTTTTTAGACAGCGATGTTGACCCAGAAACAACGCTGTCAGGCCAAACTTCCATCTCCAAAGGCAGACCTAAACAGCGAACATCGATCTAGAGACCTGACCGTTGGAAGGAATTTAAGGCTAAAACTTTCCTTGTTTGGAAGTCAACAGCCAAAACAGCGATGTAGGGGTTTTGGACATCGCTATTGGCATGACTGTTGCTTCCCATTTTTTAAAAATCAAGCCTAGAACAGCGATGTCCAAGCCTAGGACAGCGCTGTCTGGGTGAATTTCAGCAAATCCAATTTTAATCAAATCCCACAAATTATGCCAATCACCCCTTAAATACTTTGGTCCGTTGGAGCCTATTTTTTCTACTATAAAATGGGGTGTTTGGGTCTGTTTTACATCGTCACATTACTTCACAACTCCTACTTTTTCATTGCAAATCATTCTTCAATTTTTCATAGCTTTTGAGAGCCATTTTTGTGAAGCCTGTGTTGTGTTCTTGAGCGTTCTTAGTTTACTCATTATTCACTCTAAAAGAGAGTATTGTTCTTGAGTGTTTTTAGTGTTCTTATACACTTGACAAGAGAAGGTATCTCTCTTGTTGTTCGAAGGAAGGGTTGTTTCCTTCGAAAGTTCGTTGAGGTTCGTGTGACTCGAATTCTCAAGTTGTACGGGTTTGTTAAGCACCGTTAAGCTTAACGAGATAGTAGTGTAGCTCGAGAGAGTCTCTTGGGAGGCTGGACTAGCCACAAGTTGTGGTGAACCAGGGTAAAATTGGTGTGCCTCGTTCTTTTCTCTTTACTTCTCGCTTATTCATTTTTATTCCTGCGATTTCTTGATCAAACGCTATTCACCCCCCCTCTAGCGTTGGTCTATTATTCTATTAATTGGTATCAGAGCCTAACTCGCGTCCAAACTTAACCGTTTGAGAGTAAAGCGATCATGGGCTCTTCTTCTAGAAATCTCTATGCAGGAATTGGAGAAGGTCAATCAACCTCTAGGCCACCACTCTTTGATGGCACCAACTACTCTTATTGGAAGGAACGGATGAGAATCTATATTCGTTCCACCAACTTCCAATTATGGTTGGTGATCAAAAATGGCGAAGAAATCCCTATGAAGAAAGTGGGAGAAACCACGGTCCCAAAGACCGAAAACGAATTTGATGCCGAGGACATCAAGAAGATCGAAAACTATGCAAAGGCCATCAATATGCTATATTGCGCGGTCAACCCCGATGACTACCGAAAGATCTCCTGTTGCACAACCGCCAAGGAGATGTGGGACAAGCTTGAAGCGACGTACGAAGGTACTGATCAAGTTCGCGAAGCCAAGATCGACTTCCTCACCCAAGAGTACGAAATGTTCCGGATCAAAGAAGGTGACAAAATTGATGACATGTTCGACCGGTTCTCAAAAATCATCAACGATCTTCATGCTCTCAAAAAAACCTACACCAACAAGGATCTTGTGAGGAAAATCCTGCGGAGTCTCACACCCGAATGGAGGTCAAAAGCCGATGCAATCTACGAATCCATCAGAGTCTCCAACGTCACCATCGACGGGCTAAGAGGTAATCTTAAAACCTATGAATCTACTATTCTAACCCCGTCTTTGGATGAACAAAAGAAAAAGGGGATAGCTCTCAAAGCCACCAAGGAACCGGTGGAAGAGGCTTCAAGCGATGACGACAATGAATTCGGGCTCGTCATCAAAAAGTTCCACAAGTTCATGAAGAAGGAATTTGAGCGAAAGGGAAGGAAGCACGACGGTCCTCCCAAATGCTACGGCTGTGGCGAGATTGGCCAAATCAAGCCAAGGTGTCCAAAGGCCAAACACGGCAAGGACAAGCCTGGCTTCAAGAAGCAAAGGGCCTACATCTCTTGGGGTGGCGATTCCGGCGACGAATCAACCGACCAAGAGGAGGACGAAGCTGCAAATCTCTGCCTCATGGCACACGAAGATCAAAGCGACGACGTCCAAGAGGTATGTAACATTTCTTCCGACTCTTATACTTTTGAAGAAATGCAAGAAGCACTTCATGAACTCTATGAAGAATTTGTTAGCGCTTCTAAAACAAATAAATCTTTGAAGAAACGACTTTCTTTACTTGA